AAATAAGATTCAGTTTGAGTTCGATTTGTGTTTTAAAACGAATTGAATATGAACAATTTTTAAATTCGTCTAAAAAAATAAATTTAACAAATTTTATCCCAAATTTACAAAATCCGACTCGATTAACGTATCTGATAACGATGAAGTCTGCCGCAAACAAACCATCACAAAACAACAAAAAAAACAAGAGAAAAGTGGCAAACAGATTGAAAATCCAACGAAGTCATCATGTCTATAAAGATCAGTTTCTCATGCAAAACCTCAGCACTCCATCTCTTCAAAGTTCAAACAGGTGTCAACCCACATACCCACGTGTCCACACACCCCATCTCCTTAAATACATGCACACCTCCTCACCACCCTTAATCTCTTACGCTCTCTCTTCCCCAACAGTGTTAACAAACAACCCCAACAACCTCCCTCCATGGCGGAGCGCCACCAGCAGCAACAGCCAACTGAGGCCATCAAGAGCTATCTTCCGGTTCCGAAAAAAGGTGCTACTCCCACTTCAAAAATCCTCGCAATTATCACGCTCTTCCCCGTGGGCAGCGTCCTCCTATGTCTCGCCGGGCTCGTTCTCGTCGGCACCCTCATCGGCCTCGCAGTTGCCACACCTCTTTTCGTGATATTCAGCCCGATATTGGTCCCTGCGGCCCTCACAATCGCCGCGGCTGTCGCAGGGTTCTTGACCGCAGGGGCTTTCGGGATCACTGCAGTGTCTTCTCTCTCCTGGATGTTCAACTATTTCAGAAAAATGGGTGCAGCGCCGAAGCATATGGAGCAGGTAAGGAGGAAAGCGCAGGACACAGCGGGCCAGAAGGCTAGGGAAGCTGGCCTTAGGGCCCACGAAGCCGTGAAAACATGAATTGAATATGTGGGCTTTTGGGTCGTGGCCCATCTTGGGACATAAATGATCAGATCTGATTGAGAATGGGGTGTCTCATGCAATATGTAATGTAACATATTTTATTTTATTTATTTGTTTTTGTGGTTAACTTTGCTGCATATAATATAATAAGATGGCTGGGGCCTGTACTAGTAAATTGTGCAAACTTAGTTTTTTTTTTTTTTTCAGGGTATTCGGACCCGCTTATCTATATATATTAGTATTTTTGTTTATTCCTTTCTTTTATATCTCTTGTTGAGGTACCATTTTTATGTTTGAAAATAAAGTCTATAATTTCTGGGTTTTTTTTATTATTTTTTGGAATTATGTATTTTTTGTTGTTATTTTTGAAATTTACACTTTGTTAACATGGATGGATAAGGTGGGGGGGATTTTTTTTTCCACATGAATCAATCACAAACACAAAATTAGAGGGTTGGTATTGGACACAAAATTGATAACATAATACAATATGAATAATAAAGTTCAAGGGTACTTATGTTGTATATCAAATAAGCAGATTTGGACTTGGGCTTATTAGATTTTTGGACCCTACCTACGACTCCAATATAATGTTGGATAGAGTATATTCAAGTTTATATCTATCCATTTGTGTTTTTTCATAAAATAAAAAAATATATATATGAGTTGAAATTTTACATCGATTATGACATGAGAATCTGATTGATTGATAACCTCTCTTCTATTTTTCTAAAAGTTAGGCTTTTTTGGAGGTAATACTTGGCCCTGAGTTTATTGGTTTTTTTATACCATCTCTAATAAAAATTTAAATTCTTATCTAAATTTGAGTAAAAAAAATTACTTTGTATAGACCTGTCTAATAAAAAAATTTTAATTTAAAGGAAATTTAAATGAGAATAAACTCAAATTTAAAAGAAGATAAAATATGATCATTAAATTTTTAAAGGATAATAAAATTTAATTAATAGTAACTTGAGTAAAGGTTTGAGTCTCTCGTAATTTGGTATGAATTTAGGTACAACATTGAAAAAAAAAATTTTACTCAAATTTAAATTTTTGTTTAAAAAAGAGTAAAATTATATGAATTTAAAAAGTAGGCTTGATAATTATAACTATTGAACAAATAGTAAGTCTCAATAAATGTTGGGACTCACAGAAAACTCAATGGTTGTAATTATCAAGTCTACTTTTTAAGTTCATACAATATTACTCCAAAATTAAAGATGCTCTTAAAATTGTAGTATAATATTAGGTAAAATATATATTCAAAATTATATGCATCTTTGGTTTGTGTTTTCATAAAAAAAAAAAAACAGAAATAGGGAAGTGAAAAATAGAAGAAAAAACAAAGTTTGGCCCTTTTTTTTTTTTTTGGGGGGGGGGGGGGGGGGGGGGGGTTGTTGTTAAAAGAGAGAGAGAAGAAATTTTGGCATTTTTGTCTCTGCAAGTGAGAACCAAACAGAGGAAATCAATTTCCTTCCATTTCCTTTTTCTTCCGTTCTCTGTCTTTCCCAGATTCCAATCAATGAAGATTCCTATGGCGGGTCCTTGGGGAAATATTAAAGAACAGTTAGAAGTCCAAAGGTTGAAAGAAAACCCCTGTTTGACACACAAGAAAATGATTTTCCTTTCTGTCTCTACTCTTTAAGATTTTCAATAACCCATAATAAACTATAATTTGTGATATATTGGGAGAGGATTTCAAATTGACTTCATTTCCGGTGCTTCATTTGTTTTCTAATGAGAGTGTTGTACAAAGTAATTCATGTCTTTATTATGTTACTTTGAATTAAAATAATGATTTAAAAAGTTTTTTAATTACCAAATATCAGATTAATAATTATACAGTTATTGTCCAAAAAATATATATTACTTGACCATTGGTATGAGTGTATTAACATATAGTTATTTTGACCTTGAAATTCATGAAAGAATTTCAACCAATGTCGGCATCATGTAACGCCGTTGTTGGGTAAGACTGCTCTCTGTATGAGTTCAATTGAGTGAACTCTAAACTGTTATAGGCTTTCAATCCAAATCATCTACAACTAAATAAAACCAAAAGCAAAGGTTGAAAGTTTAATTCCTAACTGCTAGAACTAATAATTATATAGTTATTGTCAAAAAAAAAAATATATTACTTCACCATTGGTGTGAGTGTATTAACATACAATTTTTTTGGCCTAGAAAATTCATATCATAATTATTTGAAATTGTTGTAGGAATCATATTCATACATATAATTCATGAAAGAACATATATGTTTGTAAACCACAAGTTATTTTATATATATATTACTATTTCATTTAGAATTTATTTTAATATATTTCTACTTCTTGAATTATCGTCAATTAGATCAATCAATCGTGTCACGTTAAACGACTTCCTGTCGAATTTTAGTGAATTCGTATCAAAAATAATTCACCCATAACTTAATTCGTGTCTAACTAGTCATATCATATCGGGTTTATATTGTGTATGAATCGTGTATAACCAATATATAAACAAATCGTGTCGTGCGTGTATTTTTTTTTGTTGGTTTCACCAATACTCTATTCATTTATTAATCGTGTTGTGTCGGGCCTACTCATTTATAAAACGGATGACTTAAAAAAAACTCAAACTCTTTAATTTTGTATCGTATTCGTATTCATATCATATTAACAAATCGTATCATATTTTATACAACCATTGGACTTGCTCCGACTCTGCCCAATTTGGCACTGACTGGCATATGTCAAAATTTGACACAACGAAGTACACAAAATGGGACTTGACCCAATGGCATCATGTCATATATAAGCTAAATTCCTCATAATGAATGATGATTATTAGCAGCATGCTAAAGCCTGTCCTTACTTCACCACATTGTCTTTGCAAGAGAAAGGTAGTTGGGGCCTGGAGCCTCCATTTGTTCCACACAAATATAGAATCAATATAAGACACCTAATGGGACTGATGGCAGCTTGAACCATCAGGACAAGTAGAAAGAACCAAATTTCATCTAATTTTAATAAGGATGTCTCAATCCCTGCAAAAAAAAATCAACAAAATGCTAGACTTACCTCTTGGGTTGCTCCTCAACACAATCGAAGTGATCCTCAAGCACGCAAATCGTTCATCATTTCTGAAATTGATACTTCCACGGTGTTCATATTCGGTCTGATGAGTTTTACTCTGCAAGTTTCGTGGTATGATTCGAATGTGAACGTGCCCCTTTGTCCTTGAAACAGCAAGCTTGGGCCTAGGAAAAAACAACCGTCCTTAAATCTCCAAACCTTAAAAGCAAATTCTTCCAACAGGCTAGTTTTTACAGAATTTCCACAAAAAAAACTGAACGATTCAAAAACACCATGAGTCCAAATGAAATGTATAAACCAAAGGTAAAGAGCAAAAATATGTCAATTACAGAATATGATAGATGATTATGACTCTTAGTCTTACTAGAAGTGAAAGGAAGAAAAGAGCCAACTTGTGGTTTTAATAATAGAAGACTTGTGGTTTTAATAATAGAAGTAAAGAAAGATGAAATGCACTACTAAACTCCAAGGAAGTCGAGACACAGTGATGCTTACAAGCAGGAAAAACAAAGTGCTCATGTTGAACATGTCAAACGGTTCATTAATAATGTGTTCATGCGTGTGCAAGGGAAGAAACACCTCAGTTTTACTATTGTGTCGGCAAAAAGCTGTAACCTTCTAAGCATATATCTGCAGCAAGTTCCTACAAACCGCAACCTTAAGGAATTCTTAACCACTTGATTATGAAAAGTATATCAAATACTTACTAGATTAGATTATGCATTTTGGCGTACGATCAATTCCCTTTCCTAGGCATCCAACTTCTCGGTCAATTCAATTGGAAGTATTAACATGTCTCTACCTGTTAAAATGCTAACTTAAGGAGAAAGGCCATAGTTTTGTTAGCCAGGGAAAAAAAATATGTTCAACTATTATTTAATGTAGAAAGTAGCAGAAATGAATGACATAAAGGCAGGACAAATGAACTTCAAAAAGGTATGCAGATTAGTTATCTTGACAAACTAGTCAACCTGTGAACCAAATTCAGGAATCATACTTGTTCTTCATCTCATTTCTCATTGCATTCTTTTTTATCTCAAGGAAACACACTCATGACCACATCTATTGCTTCCCAATACCACCACCTCCTCCTTGCTTTACTGATTACTATCTTTACAACAGTTTTTCCACTTAACATTGGTGTAAAATCATCACTCATGTACCCTCTTAGTTGCTCTGATCCCATCCAAACATGTTATTCTTACCTATATCACATCTCCAAAGGGCTCCAATTAGAAGAAATAGCCTCTTTCTACTCGGTGAACATATCTAAGATTGAACCTATTACTCATGGTATCAAACAAGATTATCTGGTCTCTGTTCCTTGCACTTGTAAAGAAGTGAATGGCACAAGCATGTACTTCTATGACACTCCTTATACAGTACAAGCAGGCAATACATTCATAAATATCTCAAGTGAGTTCTACAGTGGACAAGTGTGGCAGGTCACAGGGGAAGACAAGCAATTTGTCGCTGGAAGCATGGTTACTATGCATCTTTTATGCGGGTGTGTGGAAAGGGAATCTCAAGTAATAGTAACATACACGGTTCAAGAGGATGACACAGTTCAAGATATTGCGGGGCTTTTATCTGCAGAAGTGAACGAGATTGAGAACATGAATGCAAGGTTGACTAGAAATCCAAATTATATAGATATTGGGTGGGTGTTGTTTGTACCTATGGAGAAAAGGGGACTTCAAGCCCCCAAGCAACGTAAGTGATATTCTGTCTCTATATAGTCATTCACCCACATGATTACCCCAAATTTATGAAAGAGAACACCCTTCTAGACTAAACATTGCAGTGTTTCGCTGTTCATACCAGACAGAATGCACATCTGGATAGTTCTTGTTTGCATTATGTCAGCGGTGACTCTATTTTCGGTGGTGATCACTTTGATCCTATTTCTTAGAAGAAACCAAACCCTAGGACACAGTGAAGAAGATCCGCAAACAACCATCGCAGACCCAAGTTCCCTGAGAGTTTTCTTGCAGAATCAATCTCTCGAAAAGGACATTGAAGGTCAGAAAATTTTCAACTAGTTCTTAATTCTGTTACATCTAATATCCAAAATGTCAAGTCTCTCTACTAGAAGCTATACAGACAAATGTAACTTTTTAAAGGTAACATGGCAGCTGAGGCCATAGGACTTCATAAAGGTTTGTTTTGTAGGTAGTTCGTTTATATTGCATTATTAAATCTTTAAGCTCTGTGCCATCTTCCCAGTACAACAAAATCCACCTCAAATAGGTTTAACAAAAACTGTTCTAGAATCCTGAATTCCAAAACTGCTAGCTACTTCATGAGGCATGTAATAAAAGTAATTATGTTAAGTAAAAATGGATTACTCTAGAAGTAATATCTCATCTCAGGTGTACATGCATAATACAGATGTGACGGATATCGAGTCAGATAAACCAGTTATATATAGACTGGAGGAGATTGATGAGGCAACAGGTAATTTTGATGTAGCAAGGAAAATAGGAGAAGGTGGATATGGGAGTGTATACTTTGGAATATTAAGAGAACAGGTATGATAAATCTAATTTCTTTAGATTATGTTTGCAGTGATTATGCAATTAAGTTGTATTTATAACATAGCAAAGATGGTTATACGACAAACAGGAAGTTGCAGTTAAGAAGATGAAATCGAGCAAATCAAAAGAGTTTTTAGTGGAGCTCAAGGTTCTATGCAAGATACATCACATTAATGTGGTAAGCACACCTGTAGAAGTAGTGACCTGCAATCAAGTAAAACAGATGTTAAGACAAATTCACTGATCAGATCGACTTTTAAGGTGGAATTGCTTGGGTATGCAAGTGGGGACAACCACCTCTATTTGGTTTATGAGTACGTCCAGAATGGATCACTTAATGTGCGTCTTCATGATCCTTTGCTGAAAGGTAAAATGCCTCTTTTCACCAGTAGCTTTCCTAACTTCATGGTTTTGTCAAAGAAGAAACTGTAGAACAGCATATGACGGGTGATTGCTACGTATTGTCCCTCTAACCGATCTCTAAGGCAAACCTCACATGCTAATTAGAAAGAACTGATGTAACACTAAACATTTCCATTATGTAATAAGAGAATAGGACTAGCATAACTCAAGCTTCATTACAAATTAACCTATTGAACAAACCAGAGGTATTTTCCATCCTCTGCTCCAAGTAATAGTTTCTTACCGTCCCAGAGCCATGCCAACCATGTGCAATTACTTGTGAAATGCATACCTTGACCTGAAAATCAGACATTGCTACATATCTTCCTCTACTTGTATAAAACATTGTTACCAACTGTAATTTTATCCTTCACAATAAACTGTTCACTTTTAAAGATAACCCACACATAGAAAAGCACGAAACGTACAAAAGCCAGTGAAAACAAACAATCAGGAGACAACTTAAGTTTAACAAAGTAGAAATTTGAAATTATACCTCTCAACTATGATCACAGTTCACAGATACTTTGTTAAGGTCGACATATTCGTATCGGATACGATAGTCGTCGGATACTCGAAAATACGTATCGAATATACATCAAACGTATCTAAAAATAAATAAAATATATAGAAACTTCGTGGATACATCTATATGTATAGAAATATGAGCATTTTTTAGTTTTAACATTTACCCCTTCTTTTTGATTTTACTTTTTTTTTTTTGACCAATCGATTTCACATTCAATGCAATACATCAACAACAATTCATATGACTTTAAAGACACATCGATGTTTTCTAAGTATTATTCACAATCAAATGTCCAAAGAGTATAAATGAGTTGATTACACTATAATCCTAACAACAAACACTTCTAATCAAACAATTTAGTTAGATATTGGTTCTTATTCCTTTAATTAATCATGTTCACTTTATAGATGTACTATAGTAAGACAATAGGAGGCTTTTTCAAAATGAAAAATTGTTAATATTTTCTATTATTGTTAAAAGATCACTAAAAATTATAGTTATCAAATCATTATATAATAGTACAAATATGAGATATACGTTTTTATAGACATATCTTATTTTTTAGGGTTTTTCTGTATCGTTGTACCCGTATCTCGTATCTGGATTCGTGCTTGTATCTCATATCCGTATTCGTGCTTCCTAGCCTCTCATTAATCCATCCTACTTAGCATCAAGCTGGGCCTTTCTAAACACAAAGTTGTAGGCTTGTAAAGAGGTTGATGCTCATCATTAAGCTACTAAGATCAATTTATTAATAGCATATGATGAAAACAATGTCAATAAGGTATATAACCATACATCCACCACAACTAATTCACAAAAAAGGTACAACCAACAATGTACTTTAAATACCTTCCAGTGCAGCTATTAGAGTATCAATGGAAAAAAGTAAGGAATTTCTGAAAAAAGAGCAGATACAAGCAAAAGCAACACTGTAAGTTGTGGCAAACTAATTGTATTTTATTGGGTTTAAGGTTCTAACAGTAGCAAGTATCAGGTCATCAGCCTCTTTCATGGACAGCCAGAGCATATATAGCACTTGATGCAGCCAGGGGAATTGAATACATTCATGACCACACAAGGGCACGCTATGTGCACCGGGATATAAAGACAAGTAACATTCTACTTGATCAGGGACTCAGAGCAAAGGTACGCATAACCATCCAAATTTAATGATAAATTCTCAACTACCATTCCACACCGGTTATTGACATCCACAAAATCCACCCATATTGACACACTTTGTCAGAACTATTTTGGTTATGTAATCATTCTTAACAAACTTCTATTTGTCCTCAATTATATATGCTATTCATAACAGCAGTTGAGAGTACCAGCTGAAAGATGTTCTTGTAGGTTGGAGATTTTGGATTGGCAAAACTTGTAGAACGATCAGATGAAGAAGATCTTATAGTAACACGCCTCGTTGGGACCCCTGGTTATCTAGCTCCAGAGTAAGTGCTTTTCTTTTTCTTTTTCTTTTTTTGTCAGGGATCTGATGCTCCTAACTATGTTTTATGCTCCTACATTCTAAGATGATTATATGTCTTCTAAGTCATTACAATCTTAGGACCAAAAGGGGCCTTAGTATAACTCCCTTCTATCCCTGAAAGCAGATCAAAATCTCAGGCTTTTCTATTTTTTGATGATTTTTGTCTTACTTATGCTGTCCCATTTTATACTTCTACTGAAGGTCCATACAGGAAATTCAAACAACCTCTAAGGCCGATGTTTTTGCATTTGGGGTCGTTTTAGCAGAGCTGATAACTGGTCAACGCGCCCTCGTTCGTGACAACCGAGAACCAAACAGGATGAAATCCCTGATTTCAGTTGTAAGTGATAAGAGTATAATTTAGAACACTTTCAGCTGGTTCATTGCGTAACAGATACTCCTCTCATAAATGTTCCAAATTAAGACAGATGAACATAAATTATTTAAGGTCTCACCTCACACTTCCTGTGAACAGGGGAAGAAGAAAATTAGACATAAATGCTAATTACTTAAATGAAAGGCTTGACTTCAACTTTGAGTCATGCAAATCGAGACACGTAGGAAAGTAGCTTCACCTTGACACTCTCTAGAAAAGTTGTGGGATATGATTGTACTAGTAATGTTGGTTAGCGATTACTTAAACAGATTTAATCGTCCTCAGACTAAGCGAAGCCTATGTTCTCTAGCATAGTTAAAAAGTGGTACATAACATATGGAACTGATACAATATAATGAATTTCTATGAACTGTCTAACTGTCTACATGAAGACAAGAAAGAAGCCATCAGTTCATCTGTCAGAAATCCTAAACACATTTTCAAAACCAACAGCAGGCGTTCCCTGATTGGGAAATGTACAACTTCAAACACTCTAACTCTACTGTGTTCTTTGCCGGATAGCATACTGCTAAAGATCACAAAGATGGTTCCTACCTTGATTGTGCTGGATTATTGGAAATGGCATCTAAATGCTACTGCAACTGAAGCAATCCTCCATGTCACCATGGACTAGTATGGAAAAAAAGCAGCTTGCCAACCTCCACTAACATTTATAATAAGTAAAATGGAGTTTGTTATTTACTAGACTTAAGTATAAATTACAAGACTCAAATAGAAGATTAGTTAGACATTTACTTGCATAATAACCTATCACCATTACTTGATTTGAATCCATTCACTTTGGTGTGACCTTAATGCTTGCTCTCCATGGCCGCCAGCCGATTCCTTGAACACCAGTAAATAGTTATGGAAGCAATCTCTTGGAGGAACTCAACACAGATAACACATTCCGATAACACATGTCCACCGTATAGAATAAAATAGAAAAGAGAAAATGAAAAAAATAGAAGAGAAAAGAAGACATGTAAGAGAAGAGAAAGCTAACGAAACAACTTATCATTTAAGAGATTTAGTGAGACCAGATATGGTGGAAATGGATTGTACAGCCATTAGAATTTTCACTCCTGTCCTGTTTGTCAAGTTTTGTGATTGCTAGCTAGCGTCCTATAATGTAATAGCCTTTGTTCCATAGAGATAATTTGTAAAGTCTAATTGATAAAATCCACCTAATGGGAGATCTCTGAATAGATGATTGACATGATATCCAGAGGTCTGTCCCCATCAAGTGTTCCTACCCTGCTTGTAGGAGTTATATCAAAATCAAGAGCTTAATTTGTCTACATTGTTAACCAAACTACAAGTGACCTGGCATGAGTTCATTCAATTGATAAAAGTCTTTCAGCAAAAACTTGGCCCAAAAATAGTGTGTAATGCATGAAGCACATCATATCGTAGGCAAACCACAAGCCGCAATGTGCAAAAATAAACTTGAAAATAGAAAATACATACATACATCCATACAAATATATAGTCCTAACTCCTAAAGCTGAAAGAAGAAGGTCAAAGCAAGGATAGCTGAAGGGACAAAAGAGGAATGAAAAGCATCAATTGTCTCATGGGGCAAGCTTACTTAAGGGGCAACAGGTAGAGAGATTGTATGATAGAGAAAAGTCAGGAAATAAGTTTGCATGTACACACAGTGTGTTTATACAATTGGTTGTGCGAGAAGATTAAACACAGACAAGACATACACACACACACATGCTTATGGAAATACCTTCTGGTTTTTTTTCAATGCTACCATTATGTTCTATTGTTCACAAATAGCCGGTCTTTATGTTTTAAACATCTTATTGATGATCCAGCTAATTTGAATTTTTTTTTCCTTCAAATATGGTCAGATGAAAGCAATATTTTGCAATACGGATCCAATGACTGCTCTAGAAGCCAACATTGATAGTAACCTAAAAGGGAGTTATCCTGCAGGGGAAGTGTACAAGGTCAGTAAAACTGCAAATCTGCAATTTACCAGTCCATTACTAATGTATGGTTCCTTTCCTCTGCTCTCTCCTTCTCTATCAATAACTCTTCTTTGGGTCCCGCCGGGTTGAAGTGGATGAACCTAAGTAGGCTTTTGGTGTTCAATTCAATAATATATCCAATCAAGACATTTAATATCTCTAAAAAAATAAAAGTACAATCAATGTCAAATTGATATGACTAAATGAATTCTACAAATGGATTTATCTATCATATATAAAAGTCATCATATTGAAATTTATGATCCAATTAAGTCAAGCAGCAATTCGAACAAGCCAAGTTATGAGTCCATGGGGTCGACTTAGGATCAATCCAAAAAATTTGACATTGATCACAGCTTTTTATGATGAATCTCAAATATTTTAACCTCATTAAGTAGTACCTTTCACTTCAGTGAATTGTAACTTGACTTAATATGTTTTGATTTTGCATGGGTTTAATCAAAAGGTTGTGAAATCGATCGACTTCGGCTTTTTTGGTTTTGTTCTCTATTTCTTTCTCGCATTCTTACGTCTTCCAAGGTGGAGGAACGGTGGATTGGTGGTGGAAACAACATCCGTGACCTCTTTCTCCTCTCTCCATGTTTTGATTGTATTTTGAATAGGTCATAAGGGATGTTGGGTTTTGTTAGAAGTTGGTGATTGAACTGGGATGGATTGAAGTGATAATTTTAATTTTCTTGAAAATTGTGAATTGAAATGGTGGCAGTGTTGGTGGGAGGGGGGGGGGTGAGGGGCTCTAGATCTTGAGCCAATAGTAGTAGTTCTAAAGTAGTCAACAATTGCGTTGAAGTGATAATTGGAGGGCTATGGGGGGTGGTGATGGTGACTAAGTGGTTGTTTTCAGTTTCGGGCTTAGAGGTGGCGGGGTTGATTTAGGGCATGGTGACAATGGGGTTTGGATTTCAAGTTTTGTGGTAGTTTGTAGACCACAGGGTTGTAGAGCTAGTGGTGATGGGAGCGATGACAATTATGGAGGTTCTTTGGTTCTCGGGCTTGGTGGTGAAGGTTTTGATCGAAGGTTGATGGCAATGATGGTTAAAGGTATGGGTTCCCGGATCCAATGATGGTGTTGATTGAGGTGCTTTGGTTCCCGGACTTAGGTCTGGGGTGGGAGTGATGACAATGGCTGTGGTTTTGCTAATGGACTAATGGGTATTTTGTTTCTTCATTTTACAGAATGGGCTTTTTGGCTGGATACTGAAAATTTGGTTGTTTTAAATACAAAGTGCAACGAAATCAATAGTTCCCTAGGTCAATGGTAACTCGTGAAACAAGAATTAAAACCAGAAAGGAGTACAACATAATATCAAAAATCAAAAGGTACCCCTTGTAACTGTTAGCAACCTGTGAGGTATCAATGTAATTTATCCTAACTGCTAAATGAACTGGTGTCCTAGTCTTATGGTAAAAATGGGACTGCAAAGAAGTGTGCCCCGTGCTTCAAATCCTTTAGCAATCGCCTAACCATAAAAAAAACGTATTACTTGGAAGAAAGGGAAAGTTTTATGATCGCTATGCTCTTATGTTATTCCATTGAAAACATGTTTTTAAGTTTAGTGGCATAAAGGTTTAATAAAGTCAGTTAAAATATCATAAGTAGTTATGACTTATTTGCATTGCCCAAATTTCTCTTTGTAGATGGCAGAAATAGCTAGACAATGTTTGAGTGAAGATGTTGTTAATAGACCAGAGATGCGACAAATTGTCACAACCTTGTCCCAAATCTTAATGTCCTCTATTGAGTGGGAAGCATCACTTGCTGGAAGAAGCCAAGTTTTCAGTGGATTATCCGATGGAAGATGAGAGGTTTTTAAGGGTAAGGATTAAAATTTCATCTTAAAACGATCAAAAAGCCAAAAAGAATTAGTGATGGAATTGACATTACAATACTTCAAGGTGTTTCATGATATTTCGGCATATTTCTACCAATGTTTCAAGGTGTTTGGTGTATTTTGACAAATTTTTTGAAATGTGATGGAAATAAATTCTCAATTTTTTATTTGTTTTCAATCTATTTCTGAAATATTTTTGAAACGTTTCAATTTCCTAGGTGATCAAACCAGTGTACTGAAACAAAATTTTGATCCTTGATCAAGGACCATTTACACATCCCAATTTAAGAATTAGTTTGTTTTGTAAATCACAGCAATCCATGACATGGGCAATGGATATGCATAGCTCTCATTTCACTGAGAATTGTAGATTATAGACATGGTCTCCACATACTGGAAAGAGCGCTATACGAGTTTTCCGAACTCAATGTTCAATAATATTAGATATGACATCCAAAACGTGGGATAGAAGTGAAGTGTAGCCACTTTTGTAAAACAGTTGCCATAGAGAAAAACTAGAAGTATTACGCATTCATTATTTCTTTTAGTGAAGATTCTTATTTTTAACTTTTTCCAGTATGGGTCTCAGAATTCAATAAGTCTTACTTCCATCTTTTTCCACTTATCCACAAGTTCTAAATTTTGTCCAACTAATTCAAGACATCTATCTGTATTCTCAAAACACCTACTTCAAGGTTTCTGGCAAGCTTTTGATTGAATTTCAAAGTACATTCTGGTACAATATTTTTCGTGTGATAATTTTTGTTTTCATATTACCTATTTGCATCCCTTGAGATAGGCGGGACTCCCCCTCTAGGAACCTTGTGTATATGGGACTTTATTCTCATACACAGCACAATCAAAAACACATACCAACTGCGACGAATATGCACGGCCAGTATATACAACTCCAAAGTCTCGGATTCAATTTTATTCTGAAGATAGGACTGATAACTGCATGTAAATGTCAAATTGATACTCTATTCTTTTTCTTTTTCATTTGTACTCTCTTATTTACTTGTTTATTCTTGTAGTTTTTTAATCAAGTTTTGGAACACCATATTTGGATAATAAAAAAAACTCACAGCTTCATTCCCAGCAATAAATAAATGAATAAAGAGCACATAGAAGTTCTATAAGCTTAAGAAAAAGGTAAGATCAAGTGAAGTTAATCTTACAAAGTCCTGAAGGAGATTGAGGCCAATCATAACCAAAATCTTCACAAAATCCTTCATGAACCCTCAGCTCATTCCCCAGCCTTTCATACATTCATTCCAACTCTTTTTTTTTTTGGGTTCAACGGTGAGGGTAGCGCAGCTCGACTAATCTCCTTGTCCGATCAAAGGCAAACTGGACTAAGGTATTCCCACTTGGTCTGGCCAGGGATTGCCTAGATTCGAAATTTATTCCAACTCTGAGTCATAGAAAAGTTTCCAAATAGTCAGAGCAACCTTCCCAATCATATTTCTGGTACGATCTAGAACGGAGATATGCGGAAAATTGAGAAAGAATATATTAGAAGGGACAAAAAATACTCAACGTGGGAAAGTCCTCTTTGATGTAGTTGTCATCAAGTTCAAGTCCCTACGACCTCTCAAATTTCTGAATTTCGATCTGAGGACAGTTGCAGATAAACAAACCTCTGGAGCACGCATAGTGTCAATAAGAAGGTAGTAAGCCATCTCACAGTGCTTGAGCTTTGAGCGTGGCGGTTACAATGGCAATTGGCAAGAGCTTCGTCATTCTACAAACGCCATAGCTCAAAGTCAAGAATGTGATTGTAGAAAATTTTCCGAAACTTTGGTTTGTGCCTAATATTTTTAAATTTTATTATTTTGATATTTGAAGTTTTTTTTTTTTTTGTCCTTTTAAGTATGGAATATGTTTTTATGTGATCTCTTAAATAGATCGTGTATAAATTGCTAGTAATTTTTTATTATAAATTTGTAACGAAATATCTAAATATAAAAAAATAATAATTCAAATTTTGGTTAAAAAATTACTCAAATTATTTAGTTTTGATTGTGAGTTATTTAAATTTTGATAAAGAATTATTCATATTATACATTTTTTGTCAAAAGTCACCCAAATTTTGGTCAATAGCTATTTAAATTATTTTGTGCTCATATTTAGATATCACATGATAAATTTATAATCAAAAATCGTTAGCAATTTAGATGTTGTTTGTTTGAGGGATCACATAAAAACATATTCAATACTTTAAAAATCAAAATTATACAATTAAAATATTAAGAATCAAAATAAAACAAATCTCATACTTTACGTTACGAGCTCTAGTGCAATTAATCCTAAGTACTTCCCTTTTTTTATCTTTTTTTTAAATATGGTAAAAATCTCTCAAAAAAAATTTCTAATGTTATATCATCTCTAATGGAGACTCAAATTCTTAATTAAATTTGAGTAAACAAAATAAAAAACTTAATTGGACATAAATATTTCTAATGAAGAAACTTAAATTTAATTGAAGATAAAGTCAAATTTAAAATTAAGTAAATATGATTATTAGATATTTAAAGGAGAGTGTAATTTCACCATTAAAAATTTGAGTTTAAAAAATGAGCTTCCTTGATTTGGATTTAAAAAGAGCTTTTTTTTCATTTGGTATGGGTATGGGTTTAATATTGGAGAAATAGTTATTACCTGTGCCTGAAAGCACAGAGTAATAAAAAATGGTAAACAACAAACATATTTGTATTCATATTTAAAATCAAATTACAAACATAGAGAAGAGATAAAAAAAATTTAAGCGTCGATTTGTAGTGGAGGTGGTAGGTGATAGGAGACGGTGATGATTGTGGTGGGTAACAATGACCGTAGTTGTGGTGGCGATGGTGGTGGCGGTGGCGGTGGCGACGACGGTGGTGGTGGTGGTGGCGGGGACAGTGGTGGGGGGGTGGCGGTGGTGGTAGTGGTGGGGGGTGGTGGCATTGGGGGCAACGGTGGTGGTGGTGGTGGCGGCGACGGTGGCGGTAGTGGGGGTGGGGGTGGGGATGGTAGAGGTAGTGGTGAGGCGGTTTCAAACACTATTTTTTTCTAAAGTATTTGTGAAAAATAATTTGTAGAAGTATTTTTAAAAAGTTACTCCAAACACACCCTTATGACCCTATTTTTCCTATTAAATTTAGGGTGTTAATATTGGTCGTTAGATTAACTTTAAAGTAAAATTTAAAACGATCTCAACCGTGAATAACAAAAGTCATTTTATTTTTTCTTTTGAAATTTGAATTATAAGTTACTTTATTATATAGATGTTTTTTACCCTTTTTACAAAAAAGTAAAGATCGAAGATGCTCTTAAACACATACTCATATCAAATAAAAGAAAACTTTTTTTTAAGCCCAAATCAAGGGACTCCTTACCTTTTTCACTAATGGTGAGTTTATATCATTCTTTAATAATCCAACAGTTATATTTATTCTCTTTTAAATTTTAGTTTTTCTATTAGAGAAGTTTATACCAAATCAAGTTTTTCATCTCTTTTTTACTCAAATTTAGGTAAAGATTTAGGTCTCCATTGGATATGGTATAAGAAGTTGAATTTTCAAATTAAAAAAATAAAACAACGGTATAACATGTTGGACCAAAAACAGTTTCACAAAACAGTTTTTTAAGTGTAAAAAATTGAATTTTTGGTCGATTTTAAACCTAAATTAAAGTGGGACTCGTTCGTTGTTTCGAGTAAAATTTCGTGGGTTCGTATTCTACTCTATGAGTAGAATAATGTAGTATATTCACTAGCTCAAAACGAGTAAAAAATGAATGAAAAAATATGCTTCAAAGTGGCCCTCTTAAAATGTATAAAATAAAGGTTGTACAATATGGGATTTAATATCAATCTCAAATTGGTTGAGGAAAAAGTTCTACATGGGCATATATAGACCAAGTTTGCTCTATAAGATCGGGCCGCAAGAGATACCATAGTTTTATGAGCGGAGTGAGCATCTACATGCTTTCGATTCTACCACCCCCCCCCCCCCGCCAAAACTCGCCCCCGCTGGGTCTAGATCGGGTGTGGGTGTGGTTTAGACTAAGCCCTATCTTTTTGAAAAAAATTCATTTAATTACTTGGGCATGAATTTCTTAACTTGAAATTTAATTTTCGATATCCGTTGAATTTGAATTTACACTGGTTTGGATTTATTGCTTCTCTCCAGTCCAAAATTTGGAGTTTTCTCTGTTCATAAAGAATAGTTACACAAGTGGTGTATTTTGGCTTACATTTGTCTTTTGGCTTGCATTTGTCTTTTAAGATGTGTCTTTTAGTATGATAGTTGTCCAAAAAATCAATAGAATATCTATAAATATACAGGCTCTTATTACCATTATGTATTCATTCATTCATCAATTCATATTCAAAGTTAAGCTAGACATTAGTGCATTGCATTTCGGCATTAAAACAGTCTGTAGTTGGAGAATACACTACATAATTTCTGATTCGTTGGACGAGTAAATGGAAGTACTATTTTTACTTATGTGAAGATCAATGTATTCTATGAGACAGACACTTGATATTCCATAAGCACAATATGTGAAGGCGAAATCTATCTTAAGGATATAGTGTCAAACACTAGCCTTGATCTACTAAAGTTCAATAACAGTTCTTGTTTTGCAATCAGGTTAGAATTTATATTAGTTTGACAAACAGTTACGTGTAACTGTTTTGTTAAGACTACTGTAATTGTTTCGTTAATTTTTTTGTAACTGTTTTCGTATTCTGTGTAACTGTTTCATACTTAACTGTTACTGTTTTATTCTAAGTTACACAATTTCAGAAATTTCAATAAATGATTTTGTTATATTTGGATTACCACAAACAACATAACATTCATTCATTTTTTTATGCTTTAATTCAATGGTGTAAAATCCATCCTTTAAAAAAGATTGTTTTAAATTATCATCTTTTCTATATGACTTCTAATGTTGGACAACTTAATCAACACCCCCTAAGGA